TTTGGTTTTCCAAATTCAGACGGCTTGTAACTAGAAAAATTTCACACCTTCTTTAAAAAGCAGCTTCATTTTTTCAGCTGTCAGTTTTTCTATTCACAAACTATATTACAAGCTGCAATTTTATAATAACTTTCTAAAAGAAGCAAAATACAATCAAATACATATGTCACCATAAATAGGTAGAAAATTCTTGGTTGAAATTCGATTTTTGGACACATTTAAACATTTACTTGATTCAAAATAAAGGCTAAAACAAAACAAGGCAAGGAATACTCCCAAATAAATATACATGGAAAGTATAGACTTGAATTAGATTTTTCCTAGGGAAAAAAAAATGTTTAAGCCAGAATTGAGAATCTGAGCTATAGTTGCCCATTAGTCTTGTGTGTCCTTCACGTCCCATGGTGGTTAGTGGCTCTATTCTGGAAGGCCAGAACTGACACCCTAGCTCAGTGCCCTTTGCTGTCATACCATCCTGCCCCTCATTTCACTTTTTTGAATATATAACAATCCTAATAGCTGATAATTATTAAAGTCTATCATGTGCCAGGCAGCGCTCTAAGTTTTTCACGTGTGTTATCTCATTTAATCTCCTGTGGAGTAGATACATTTGTCCCTATTTTACAGATAAGGAAACAAATAATAGAGTTTCTATTTTCAGGATAAAAAGTAGAAATACTTTTTTTTTAGTTAATGTCTGTCTTCTAATTTTTCATCAGTTTGTTTAGATTATGACAATATTCAATAACCTTTTAAAAATATGGAAGCCTTTTATGTAGGATTATTGTTGGCACTTAATTGTGATTATATCTTAAGTTATCATTTTACTCATCTCTTGATGTTCTTTTAGCCATTCTCTCCTTCAGTCCATGCTTCATGTTGCATATTAACAGAGAAGTAGCTTTCAAAACTGCATGTCAGATCATAGTGCTTTCCTGCAGACAGCCTGTCACCGATGCCAGTGTGCATCAGACTGAAGACCACATTTCCGCAGTATTGCAGGCACAGGAGCTTTAGGGAGCCCTGCAGCTCCTTGGCCATAGGAGCTGTATCTGCAAGATGAGATACTTCATCATCAAGACATAGAGTGACCAACAGAAAAAATGGGCACATGATATAAATAGTTCTAGAAAAGGAAATAAAAACAGCTATTCAACAAAATGTTCAACTTTACTTATGGTAAGAGAAGTACAGAATCAAACACAATGAACACAATGAATTATAAAATGCCTCTGGAAGGATACATTGAACACCATTTGCCTTTGGCAAGGGGAAGTCAGTGACAGGAGACAGGGATACAGTAGTCTGCCCTTATCCATAGTTAAACTTCCTGCAGTTTCAGTTACCTGTGGTCAGCTGGTCCAAAAGTAGATGATCCTCCTTCAGACGTGTGGTCGGAAGGTCAGCAGTAGCCTAATGCTACCCTACAGTGCCTCTGTCGCCCTCCTCACTTCATCTCACATGGAGGTGTTGAGCATCTCACAGTATCACAAGAAGGGCGAGAACAGCACAGTGAGATATTTGAAGAGAGAGACCACATCCACTCAACTTTTATTCAGTATATTGTTACAGTTGTTCTAGTTTAAGGTATTATTAATCTCTCACTGTGCCTAGTTTATAAATTAAACTTTATCATAGGGATGTGTATGGGAAAATCATAGTTATACAGGCAGGACTCAGTGCTGTCGGCGGTTCCACGCATCCAGGGGGTCTTGGGACATATCCTCTGCAGAAAGTGGAACACTCTATATGTTTTTTAACCTTTTGGAATTGGTAGACAGTTACCTAAGTAATGAAGCACTGTGGATTCCACATATTTAAATGTAGAAATAAAAACTAGTTACATTCTAGATAAAAACTGTGAGTATGTGGAGTAGTCAGGAGTTAAAAGATATTCATGGCAGTTTATAAATCAGAAAAGTAATCGTCATCATAGCTTACTTTTGTATCTTACATTTCAGATCACAGAGCACCTTCCCATGTTATCTCAGTTGATCTTTAAGTAACCTTATCTTCATTTAAGATGAGGAAACTGAGGCTCAGATAAATCATAGTACGCCTGAGGTCACACTGCTAGTTTGATCAGTACACACTGCAACATCTTTATTTACATACCTTTCTCCCCTAGTAGATTCTGAGCTAGTGACACAAACAAAACTATAATCCAGGCCTTGTGTTCCTGGCTGACTACCATTAAGTGATGACATTCAGAAAGGAGTCAGGGAAATCATGTCTCCTTCTCCTTTGTCTTGGGGAATACATGGAAAGACGAGTCACTGAAAATGTAAAACAAGATAGCAGGCAGCTCTTGTAAGTGGCCCCATTACAAAGACATACAGAGAAAAAAAAGTAGCTTTCCGTTTTAATTTCAGTGAAAGGAGCTGCGTTCCATAAGCCATAGAACCCTGTCTCCAAGTTGTAGAATTTGAAACTGACATATTCCACTAGAATTAGCTCTAACATTCCTCCTCTTTTAGAGCCTTGTCACAGACTTGCTTTTCCTCAAAATGCTAGTGATGAGTGAGATAATTCAAGTAGAACATGGCATATATGTTTTTAAGGACTGAGTGAATGGTCAGAAATAAAGAAATCACCTACCCAGGTAAGAATTCTTAGAACTCACTTGAGCCAGTAAGCCTATAGCAGGTGTCCCAGAGGCAGCAGTAACTTGAGGATGCAGCATATTCTCAGAGTTTCTGAACCCTTCAGCAGGGACACTTCTGTGGTTGAAGTGAGATGTAATGCCCAGAAAAGAACCTGTATTATTTTCCTTTAATTATTGAAGAAGAAAACAGTCATTCTCCAAAGGCAAGAAAGGAAATGCATACAATCTGTATGGAATTTAAATACATTGTTTATTAAGCAGGACTCTATATGAAACTCTGGAGAATTTTATAGTAAAGCTTAGAGAAATATTTCGTGTAACATCGTAAGTTGCAATCATTTATAGTAATTTTAGTGCTCTGATTTCCATTTGTTTTCAGATTTGAAAAAGCAAACATTTTCCATAGTGATTTATATCTGAAAGCAGCCAGTCGAGCCCAATTGCATAAAACTTCTCTTTTATAAATAAATGAAGGATAATAAGGAACAGCTCTACTTACTTTACCGTATGTCTGTCTCTTCAGACAGAGAAACATTAAAATGTCTTTTCTTACTGAAATGTACCCCATGGTCTTTGGAAGTGCCCCACCTCCTTTAACCCCCTAAACTTAAGCTGACCTCGGATCCAGGCACCGTCTCCCCTTGGGCCGCCTCAGCAGACTCTCTTTGGAAGGCACTGCGTGGGCCATGCCCTGGCGTACACAAACCTGTCCCCCCTGGGCTCCCCGGTGCACTGGACTCCCCAGTGTACTGGAAAGTTCGCCTGGCTGGTGAACTCTCAGCAGTCCAGACTCCTGGGTTCTGGGAGTTGGGTTCATGTGCTAGTTTCATGGTGTTAGCTTCTTCCTAGAGACATGTCCTGCTTTGGGGTTCTCTTTGTCTAGAGTATTTCTCAGCTCATTCCATGTACTCACTGATGTTTGCCTGAACTGCTGATGGTGTGGATGTACCTTGACATTACAGTTCTGCATAATTTAAGATGCATTTTCTTTATCAACTTGGTTAACTGCCTGCTAAACACCTACTATGTTGTGTTAGCACTGCATTAAAGCAAGAGGAATTTAATATTCATTGATTCCATAAACAGTTTGATACCTACCATGTGCCAGGCACTCTGCTTAACACCAAGGATGCAACAGTGAGACGGACATGACCCTTGCTCTCAGAGCTTATGTATTGGTGGGGAGGGGAGAGGTTAAGTGAATCAAATAAAATAAAATGGTTATAGGTTAGGATAAGCACCATGAAGAAAAACGGATGAGAGGGCAAAGGGCAACGCCCCAGGGCTGGGAGGACAGCCAAGGCGGGGGGCAGCAGAGAACTGGACTTGGCTGGTGGAATGGGCTTGAGGTGATGCTGTGGCAACTAGCAGAGGCAGGTGGCCCAGGGTGTGAGGCCACAGCCCTCAGACCTCATAGGCTCTGCTCAGATGTGTGGTTCAGGGGACACCTCGGGGGGTTATGCAGGAAAGATATGCTCTCATTTTCCTTTTTATTTATGCAAGATAATTCTGGCAGCTTTGTGAAAGTGAACCCAGGGAGCCCAGTGAGGGTGAGGCTGAGAGAGCGGGATTAGTGTCTGCAGGCAGCGCAGGAAGAGGAGCTGCCCGGGTACATTTCAGAAGTACAGCAGCAGGGTGTGTGGTGGGCGATTACACACACAGGAAAGAAGGGGAGGCAGGGCGGGGTGGTGGCGTCTCCTGTGGAAACCATTGGTGGGGATGCGAAGACCTCGGACAGCAGGTTTTTGGGAAGAAGGTAGAGTTCAGTCTGGGAACAGCAGAATACACTTCAAACCTTCCAGCTGTTGACAGCTCACCTGTAAGGGCTAGGGTAACCTGTGGGTCAGGTTCATAGGTCTGCAGCCCTGTGGGAGTCAAGGTGAACGGTTGTTGCTCTAAGAGATCAGAGAGGAGGTAAACAGTTACATACAGGGGACAGCTGGTGTGTAGGCCTGGGCGTGAGGGAGGAGGGGTGGGGTGTTTGAGCGGAGACATGCATCCCAGAGATCAGGAAGTGAGCAAAGCCTTGGAGGGCCATGTGCACGGTGTGCCTGGTCTGGCAGGAATGGAGGGCTTGCAGTGAGGGGGGTCCCAGCTCTTACTGTGGCTTTCTGTAGGAACCTCGCCTATAAGAGAGGTTAAGGTCACTTGCCTTTCTCTCTCTCCTCATTCCCCTAGTTCATGTCTGCCATCCACTGGGTTCCCAGACTCTCTTCAGTTAGGACTAGGGTAGTCTCATGGGGCCCTCCCAGATCTTCCACACTGGGTTTGAGATGTCTTCACGTTTCTTTAGGGGAATCTCACAGCACCAATCCTCTCCCTATCCACCTTCCACACAGTTACATGTCTATTTTTGTCACCTGCATTTATATATTTCCATTTATTTCCCACTTAGGTTTTATGGCAGGCACACAAAGAAACCCTCAGATGTCTCAGTATGGACCTCAGCAAACAGGACCGTCCATGTCACCTCATCCTTCTCCTGGAGGCCAGATGCATCCTGGAATCAGTAGCTTTCAGCAGAGTAACTCAAGCGGGACTTACGGTCCACAGATGAGCCAGTATGGACCACAAGGTAAAAGGAGCTTTCTCCAAAATGCCCTGCAGTAGTTCGTAGAAATTTTGTTAATATATTAATCCTTATGGATCTTAACATTATAAACATCTTTTACGATGCCACAGGTTGTTACCTGATGGATTTGTGAGGTTAATGCAAAGCTCTGGTCCCCGAATCGCCCACAGTGGTGGGAAGGACAGTCACAGCAGGCCATTCCTCAGGCTCTCCTGCGTCAGGCAGCGCAGCATGCGCTCCTCATAGGTGTGTTACTTATGAAGGAGTAAATGCTGGGATTTCTTTCCTGTGATGTAGTTCTAAATGCTTGCTGAGGAAAAAACATGAGCCTTGCCCTCAAAAAGTTTCTGATTTAAAGCTTGGGTTTCACCATTTTGAATTGTCCCGTTGCCCCACCTTCTCAGTAATCACCTTCCTAACAATGTGCTCATTACTCGGAAGGATGTCATCCCGTTACATCTTCTGCCAGTTTGTCTCCAAAGTGCTCTGCCAGGTAAACAATAGCTCTGATTTTCCCAGTCATTACCAGTCTTACTCTTAGAACACAGGACAAAGCCCAACATGGACACATCTTTCAAAAAGAAAGACAAAACAAGACTAGAAAAACCAGCGGAAGCGTGCCAGGATGCACAGTTCACATTCTGCCTTCCTGGAAGGCAATGCATGTTTTGTCATATACACGTAGAGTCCTTTTATCAAGGTTTTTAACCTGGTATACGAATGTGTTTTTTTCTAGGTCATTTTTGGCAATAAGGCATTGGGATTTAGTACCTTCTTTATATTTTGTTTATTTAAATTAGACATTAATAGATAATTTAGAGAGAATGAGATAATCTGGCACAATTCCCAGAGTTTCCTCACTTCTGCAGATACCAGTAATATTCCACACGAAGGCGATGAATACCCACTAGGAACCTGTAGAATGTTTCCCACCTCCACAGCTGACTCGGCTCTCCTTGTATGGGTAAAGCCCTCTTGTTTTCAGGGGGCGTCTCTGTCTGTCAGCAAACCATGCTGTGTTGAGGCTCTGTGCCTCTCTGGCCAGTAGGTAAGGCAGGCCAGGCAATTCTCTGAAGAGACCTAGGGAACCTGCTTGGCTTTTTACCTGGTGTTTCTGAGAAAGGCTTCCCCTTCTAGTTAAAATACTTCACAGTTTGAAAATTAAGTTGTCTGGTTTTTTGAAGCTCTCTCTGAAAGATTATAAGCACCTCCAATACTACCAAGGTAGCACCATCATTTCTTTACCTTACATTGCTTTGTTAGTGTACATTCCAACTATTTCTGTTGTTAAAAAACAGACCTAGAACACCCAAAACGTAAAACTTTTCACGTGGCCCCTTTCTGCCTTTGTCCACATGCACATAGTCAGAATAGATACAACTTTGTTTTTTCTCAATTCCTTTTATGTCATAAATCGTTTTCCATGTTATTAATTACAGTTCAAGTCCCAGTTGACAGTGACAGGCCATCCTGTTTCCTGTTGGCCCAGGTGACATGCAGCAGTTTGTCACTGAGCTGAGACAGGTCAGGGTGTCCCTCAGCTGGCACAGAGCCTGCCTGCCCACTGCCCCCACTCAGTGGATGTCTTCCAAACTGGGTTTCTTTGGCTTCCATGGAAAGAAAACTTTGGTGAAAGTTGGAAAAGCAGTTTGTAAGCTGTGATATGCACAGAAGATGTGAACTTTTACTCAGAATGTAATTGGAGACAAGGTTAGAGCCTTGTTCTCAGAACTGGGGGTGGCTGAAGGTCTAGGACTTCGTCATTAAAACCCACAAGGGCTTCATGTGACCTCCAGAGTGTTCCCCCTGCCCTTCAATACGTCACTCTTGCAGCCCCATCCTATGCTGCTCTCGTGAGGGAAGAAGGTGGAAGCTTTGTCTCTCTGATAAGTGTTTTCTAAATGGCCGAGAAAGTGCCTGTACTATAGGAGTCAATGGCAGGAAAGCTAATTTCTATAGAACGGAATTCTTTTCCAAATAAAACCCTCAGTTTTCCAGAACCGTTAAACATTTAAATTCATAATTTAAGAGCACTCAACCTGTGAGGGTTTTCATTCAAGCTGCTATGTGTCCTTGGAAAATTGCTTACTTCCTAGGAATTACATTTCCTCTAGAAAGTGAGAAATTAGGTGATGTTACTTTGGAAGTTGCTTCTAAGTCTAATGTTCTACAAGTCTAAATTTTGCTCAACTCTGGACCCTTTTATATTACTGCGGCTCACTGGATCCACTGCATTTGGCTATATATTTAATCAGATTTTTGCTGTGGGCTTTTTTTTTTTAAGACATAAATACCGAGTTTAGGTTGGTATTAGAAGCAATCTAAATAGGCTGGCAATTTCCATACTCAGCACTTTGTAACTTTGTAAAACTGTCCACGCGTTCGTGCTCTGCCATGTTCTCCTCGTCGGAGGTGTGTTTCTTCCCGAGTTCCTTGAATGGCTGCAGATGCTGGGCGCTTCACGTGAGCGTCCCTGTGCTCTCGGTGCCCAAAGCAGACTCGCTGCTCTTTCCTCCTTGTGTTCTCCCCTCAGCAGACACCGAGTGATGGGAAATTACCCTCGTGACATATATCATTCAACTCAGTAAATGTTCTTAGCTTTGCATGTCTCTCCTTGTTGATCCTTTTAAACAAGAACCCAAATGAAGGGGTTTTTTTTCCTTCCTTCTCTGAATTAACTCCCCAGATTATTAGTAGAACATGCACTTGCCTCTTCTTGCCACCCACCTTTAATGTCTCTGGAAAGAATCACATGTGAGCGACCAACCCACAGAGGTCATTGGCATCTCCTGTTTCTTGTCACTCACTAAGTGACTTTCTTCTGTGTTAGCTTTGTTTTTAAGAGCTCTCAGGGGAAAATACAGTGTCTCCTTGCTAACCTTTGTATCGTCAGGAGCAGCTTCTCCAAAATTGTTACTAGTAATAACAACACTTACTAAACATTACTCTGTCCTAGGTCCTATTCTAAGTACTGTTCATATCTTAACTCATTTAATCCTCAAACATTTTATGTGATAGGTATTTTTATTACCCACTTGACAGATGAAGAAACTGAGGCATACCACAGTAAACAGCATTGCCAGGGTACACAGTGGTCATGCCAGGATTCAAATTCAGGCCAACTCACCCTTTTACTTGGTCAGTGGGAAGCCATGACATTATCCTCATTTTGCAAATGAGCAGGTTAAGTAATTTTACCCACAGCTCACAGCTCGTAAGTGGCAGAGCTATGGTTCAAACCGAGGGAGACCTCAGAGGCCACTCACACCATCACTGGCCTGAGGTTTGCCGTGCCACCTGTGTACACCTGTGTACCGTCTCCTGCCTGGTTCATTTATTCAGTAAGCCACTAGGAAAACAAGACACTCTTTTAAGGAGCAAGAACATTTGGGGAATACAGGCTTGAGAATACATCAGAAATATTAGAGATTAAAAAGAAAATTCCTATGAAGTTAAGGGGACATTTTTAGAAATGTGTGTTAGTACTGTAAAATCTGAATTATGAAATATACAAATAGGAAATAGGAAACCTAAATGAATTAGAATGTTAGTTGCAGTATATTTTATGAAAGAGTATTTTATACCTTTAGGCAAACACACACAATAACTACCCTCACGAAGTATTTGCAAGTAGAGGACTGTAGGGAGTTGCTTTAATAAATAGAAAGGAATTATGTAATTAATGTTAATTATTAATGAATGAATTTTATGGGGAAAAGAGCTGAAATCAATTTCATCCTACAGCCTTCATGTTTCTTAAGGACAAAGACTCTTGTTTGTTTTTTTGTTCTCAAGAACAATGCCTGTCACACTATCCACAAATATTTTCTCTATATTTGTCACTAATTGGAAAAATGAGGGTCTAGCCTTAGTTTTGCCATGATTAAGCATAAAATATTACCTTAGCCTGGCTAACTAACAGTAGTTGTGAGCCTAGATTCCAGCGGTTGTCACTGACTTGTATGACAGTGTCTGGGCCAAGTAAATGTACAGGTCACACACCAGCACAGCCCTGCTTTGATGCCCTAATTTGCATAGTGTGTGTCTTAGAAGCAGGAAACTTATAAGTAGGTGAAATCTGGTGAGCCTTTATTTCCAAACTACTTGATGAAAGGTGTTTTTCCAAAAGCTTTAAATGTTTTTTCTCTAAAATAAATTCCACATGAAATCACCCTTCTCCCTTCATTCATTAAAATGTTTCTCCTAAATTCAGCAAAGGCAAACTTCAGATGATGCCTAGTTGAAATGAATGCAGTTCTAAGGTAGTGAATCACACATGAAAGCAATCTCTCAACTGTTTCAGTTCAAGAGGAACCCTGTATAAATGTCAATAGCTGGTGACCCGCTAGCTACTTGAGAGTACCTGATAGGCCCGCGACGACACTGGTGTCACCGTGAGCCAGGATTTCAGTCTCCACTGTTGCACGTCCAGACCTCAGTCTTATTAGTGAATTAAACTAAACTCAGTCTCTCTTCTACAGTGGTGAGATGGGCCTGCCATGTGCGCTCATTTTGGCCCCTGACATACTGATCACATCTTGTTCTTTGGCTTTCCAAAGGCTGGTGTCTGTGTAGGGGTCACTCTTCAGTTTACTCATTATTTTTTTCTTGAAACAGGTTCTAATACACTTAATGTGTTTTCAGCTTCCTGTTATCTTAACCTTATTTTATGATCATGTCAGCAGTGGTAGTCAAAAATATTATTCCATATTTGATATTCTTTTGTTAAAGACATATTCTGAATCTCTCTTGCTAATATTAGAAAAAATAGAAATTAAAGTAGATCATTTTATAGCAAAAGGTAGTTAATGCAGTCTTGTTTTGATGTTCAAATTTAGCCTTCAAGTTGTAAGAGTTCATCAACAGTTTTTCTTAACAGACTGATAATCATCATTATTCTATCAAAACCTGGGAATTAGAAAAGAAGTAAGGAAAAAGTAAGTACAAATTAGAAGTACAAATTTTACAAAAGTAAATTTAAGAAAAGAAAGAGAAAGAAAAAG